TGATCTGAAACATAACTAACCTTCCTCCCCCAAGCGGTGTTGAATTTCACCGACAATTCATTTTCTCTGAATCCCCGTCACTAAAATATTTGACGAATTTCTCAGTTACATACAATCATATATCCAGTTCTGTTGAAGGCGTTATTTGGATTTCTAAGGATTTTTAAACTGTTTGTTATTTGCGCTAAAAAAGAATATTCTTGCTATATTTATTTACCTCAAAAAGTTTTTATGAATATATTATAATATAATAATTTCAAAGGGTTAAGTATAAGTTAAAATTTGTAATAGCTTTTTCATAAACGTAAATTACTATGACAAAAAGTTAGCGCTAAAGCTCCGATACTATGCGAAACTAGCTCAGGTCGCTGCTAGATGATAAAGTATCAAAGTACACACATAAATTAATTTAGCAAAGTCTGAAACCTTGTTTGAAACAGGATGCAAACTGGTACGTGTTTGAAGCGAGAACAAGTGAAAGGCGCGTCTTATATCATATTAACAAGGGTCGTGACAGCCCGGTAGAGGGCGCACAAAGCCGTACACAATTAGAACTGTTGAAAGAAATCCATTTGGGCATCGTCGGCTTTGTGGCGACCTCATTTGCGAAGGACTTTCTCAACTACACGCAATTTTAAACAATGAACAAACCGAGTAGATAGCGAGTGCCTTTCTGACGTGAGATTTAATTAAGGTGAGATACGAGGCCCGAGATAACCTTTTGCTTGATTATTTAAAACTCACTCGCTTATTTATCTATTTATAAAATAAATGTAAATGAGGGCACCATTTTGCAGCGTTTAGATTAATTAGTTATTTAAAGTTCGTTATGTCCTGTGTTTTAAAAATAATCTTATTTCGTATTATGCATAAAAAGTCAACATCATCAAATTCGATATCTCAAAAGTACCATACATATGTCAGTGATATCTTTCTCTATCCAACCAATTAATGTTATATTTACCTATCAGTGGTTTTATTTACTCTGATCAGATGTTTTTTAAATGTTAGTAATATTATAGTCACAAATATTATAAGAATTCGTTGTCAGCGTGATAAAGTGTGAAGGTATGACGTGTGACGCGACGCTGGTACACGCGTTAGACGTCGCCGCGGAGTCACGCGGATAATGTGCCTTGCGGTTACCCTGTGACGTTACGAGGCTCTATTAACATTTTCATGAACACGAATTATGTTGCCGCGACAACTTGAGTACAAGTAGATTTAATTTTATGAAGTACTTAAGCCTCAATATCTCGTAACTTCAAGCAAATTGTGGCGATGGAAATGATGTATATTAAACCCTTTATACATGAAGAAGATTAATCATTTCTATTGACTTAATACGAAATATGTTGTGTGTCAATCATACATATACATATGTATATATATTTCCCTCTCATCAGTCGTGTAAAAATAGCATAAGCTTATCAATACAAATACAAATCTTTTTACGATACGGACTATACAACTGGAGGTAATATTTTGGCGACGCGTATCATAATTCCTATTCCACATGAAACCAGTGAGCCAGTAAAAGTTTTGTTACATTTCCTCACAAATTTCGAGCGCAACATTCGTATTGCTTTTATTTTATTCAGGTTTTTTGGCATCGGAACAAAAACTCTATGATACTGTAGTCCAATTCAACAATGATACAATACGAATTTTGGTTTAATACTTTGGAACTTGATATACAAGTGAGAAAATATTATAATAAAATAAAGACGCAATGTGAGCCATGTATACTAAATTACGATGAAAAGTTGCAGTGAAAAGGCATATTTTAAAACTTACTTGCGACGAATTGATTTTTTAACGGATAACTAAAAAAAAATCCTGTATAATAATAATGTATTACATTAAAGTAATGTTTTATTGCTAAAATAATCATCTAAAAGACGAAAAGCCATCTAACATTACGGCAACGTCTTTCAATAAATACGTTCCAATTTCAATAAACATTCATAAGGATTATTGATTATAGATTGCCTTGAGAACCTTCGCCGCTCAAAAGCCTCTTATGAGAGTGATTCTTAAGACATACATACGTGGAGATAATAATGAAATTTACAATGAATAACAATGATGAATATTTGATACATAAATAATTAAACCAAACCCTTTCTTTTCCTACTGAAACATTTATTAGTTTTGTACGTTTTATTTTATTTCTATGTAGGTTTAATCAAAATAATTGAGAGCAGTTTTAGTAGAGTGATGTCACGCGACAGATAAACGATTTGTATCACCACTGATACAATGTTAACGTGGGCTTACACTGATGATTCATTAATCATACGATACAACAAAACAAAATCGTATGCAAATTGTCTATGCTATGATTATCTTTGAAAAACCTGAGAACATAATACGATTTTGTTTTGTTGTATCGTTAGTGGAGGCAAGTAATACAAAGCAAAATATTTTATTGTTTACTTTGGTGGAGTCTCTAAATCACAATTAATATTATAATATGTTACTTGTGGTAGTTGATAGAATATTGTTTGTTCGAATGTTTCCTTTCGACATACATTTCATTGTACACATCTATGTAGTTACATATCTATGTAGTTTAATAAAATCGAAATGAGATTTATGACAGTGGGGAGTTGGTGCGTATGAAATCTATTCTCGTCTGACGCTCAAACTGACTTATTAAAGTCTGTCCAATTTACACGAAAGTGATGAATATTCATAATCGTTCCCCATTCGCCATTCAATCCTTCGTTTATGGAAATTATACTGAACATTCTGTAGACGTCTTGTGGGCGTTACGTAATTTGGAATACATATTTTTCTTATATATTATAGTAGTATGTTTGAACTATATATATAGGCCATAAATGTTTTTTGTAATGTCCTAATATTATTAATAGCCTAATATTTGAGATAATTTTTACAGCTTTGCCTTCATGATCAACCAGAATGAACCATATCGTAAACTACATTTTTGTTAGAATCAGCGCGGCCGTCATCCATCATTGGCGCGTTTTAATTTGGATCCACGGCGTGAGAGTGCGCCATCATCGCCACATCGTTTGTCACGCCAGCGCCACCTACAGTATCCGGACTTCATTGTTCCCACGTCACATTCTATGGAATCTTGTAAATTTCCTTGTAAATTGAATTGAAAATATAGCTTGAAATTTAATGCACGTACTCACTATCGCGTAAAAGTTTCTAAAACTTAGTTAATAAGGTATGAACTGGCAAAAATATTATGAGTGACATACGCTGAAGATGATGCACAGTATAGTTGCAGCACTCTTTAAGGAGAAAGTCGTCATATGTAATTATCTTGTTAAAATTTTAAATAATGACGTAAATACAGCTGTGAAGGCACGTATTATTGTTAATATAGAAACACGTTAACATATAATAAAGCTCAAACACGCGTCTTGAGAAAGGAAAATAATCAAAGCTCACTTTTAATTTGACCAACTTCCTTTTAGTTCATTAGTAAGTAGTTAAGTTCTAAAGGCTTTGGTCTTGTAATAAAAGAAAATATATAACTGCCCACTAACACGTACGTATGCTTTGCTACAATCATTATCGATTTAGTTTAAATTTAAACTTTTTTTTTGAATTCAAAAATTGAAAAGCTATAATATTTGTCACTTTTTTCATACGAAAGCTACATTCAGAATTTAATTGCTCTTTGTATGTCAGAATTTAGTAACTCCAAATGTGGCATTAAAATAATAATTTGGATTCACGTGTTTCTTGAATGTTTAAATATGTAATGAGCGCCGAACAAATTCATGTGCCCGGATATAATTCATATCGTAACCTAATTTCAAGAGACGTTAGCAAACGGGGCTGGCAGCTTGTTGTTCTTGTGACGTCACAAGCGGGCGGGTATTGTTTACAGATTTTGTGTTGAAGCATTGTCAGCTGCAGAAGGTATTATTTGGCTCCTTTACAATTCATTCGCGTTAAATTAACAGTTGACAGTTTAGAATCATTTGAAAGTTTACTGTCGGCTCAGAACCCAACTTAATTATGTTATAAAAACTCATCTAAAGACACTTTTGATATTGATCAAGTAAGATTCTTTGCGGCAGTATTGAAGTTTATTACCTTAATTTTTTAATGGTTTTTTTATGTTATAGTATAAACTAAAAAAAACATCTTTTTTATTATTTTTGATCACCACTATCTTTCTGATTTTAATGTTCTCCAAAGGAAATACAGCCATTGTGCGAGATGTTTACAGGATAAGTGTCTTGTTTCCGGAACTAAGGCCGTAGAGATTTTCTCTAGACAATGGAGCGAGACAAACGACGTGCTTCCTGTCACGTGATTAACAATACGGATAAGATTGCTATATTAGTAGAAAAGATTTTATGGACCACATTTCACACCCGACCTAAATCAAAATTTAGCTAGCTGTCTAATGCAGTGGTATTATTGCCCACATATCTACACTAGTTGCGCCCAGTAGTTTCATCCCTTTTACGGTCCTAAGCATTTACCTTACACTAGGACCTTCACATTATAGGTAGTACACAAGCTTCCTAAATAATTGAATTGTTAAATTTAAAAAGTGTATTCAAAACCTTTTACATGTTTGAGAGATAAGCAACTTATTTATTGAAAATTGTGTCAAAAATGAAATAAAACTAAATATGACAATTATAATGTTTGTTTATTTATCATATGTTATAAACAATAAATCCATCTAAAGCTTTACGCAACACTAGTATTTTACATTTTATTTTGTTTATAAGGAAGCCGCTGTTGCGTACAGACAATGTTTTCATTGACACAAACAAACAAACAATATTGATACACCTGATCTTGGTAAACATAATTAGACGTATTTTGTTTATTTACATTTTAATATTACGTTATAAAGCAACTTAAAGTTTAATAATTATAATTAATAAATAATATTATATTGATAAAAGTAATTAGGCTGCATGTAATCCAATGAAACTTTTTATTCATAACAACAATATCGACAAGGAAATGACTTTTGGTAACATCATTAATTAAGAAATATTCAAATAATACTTTCAATTTGCACAATATGTTACACTTAGACATTTTATTCTAGTAAGTCTTTATAAAATGGTCCGACACAAAAGGAGCGAATGAGGCGGGTTCTTTTATTTTCTTCTTTTTATGAATACGACAACTTTTGTGCTTGTGATTTGTCTCTGATTTGTTGTGTGTGTACATTGACATCTCCTTTTTGTTATCAATCAGTAAGTTTCTTTGGCAGCTGTTCACTACAGAGTTTTTCACCTCATCTTTCCTATGTTTAACACTATGTATATCATATTTGTACATAAAAGTGCTCGTCTCATCTTTCATGTCGTTTAACTTGTGCGAGCTTTCTAATACTTCAAGTTTGCTGTGATGCAGACAAGTGGATTTCACCTGAAAAATATTGATACGTGAAAAAAATGTATATTGTCGTTTTTATTTGGAATTGTTCCGTGGAAAACAAATGTTTTATTCTATTTTATTTATCGTTTTTCCGTCGCCATCTTTTTTGTATTATAAATCTTATGTTAATGGCCCTCTCGGTGCACATCTTATGTTAGTTAACAGAATACATTACCGTAGGCGTGCGCGCGTACTTGGCGGCGCGGCCGGCGAGCTCGGTGCGCAGCCGCCACGCGCGCGCCAATGCCCAGCGCCGCGCCATCGACGCCTCGTCGCTGCGCAACCTCACCCATCTTACACAAACAACATGAAACATTTATGTTTAAGAATAATAATATAGAATAACAAAAAAAGAAATCAGTTTAATCAGCAATTTTTGTTTTCTTTGTTACATTTGTTTTTACCTATCAATGAGCTGCAAGACGCGCGCGTGTTGGCCAGCGCTGCGCAGCAGCAGGCAGGCGGAGCGCAGCGACGGCGGCGTAACCGGCGCGGGGGATGCACCGGGGCGGAGGCGTGCGCCGGGCACGGCGGGCACAGGGGGCGCGGCACTCATCGACAGCCGCAATGAAGTCATGTAGTATTGCAGAGCTAATGGCCACAGACCTGGATAATTGTCACATATCCTGAATAAAATTTGATAAACACGACAATTAGTATGTACAATTATAAATAGCATCTAAGCTTTAGTATCTTCTTTAAAGTAAATGCCCATTGCATACTCGACATCGAACATATTCATTCATTCACAAAATTCTTACCTCTTTCTTTTAACCAGTTGCCATAGATGTGGTGATGCTCCCAGTTCCTGGGCTCCAGCTCCAGCAGCTTGTCCAGTATCCCTCTCCTATCCGCGAGCGGAGTGACCAGCAGCAGCTCGAGGTAAGCCTGCACGAACCTGGGCTCCAGCGTTATACATCTCTCTAACATTTTCAAGGAGTCACTTATTCTATTATTTTTCCTAAAAAAGGCAACAAACGCAATTTGGTAAAGAGTATATTAAACTCTGAAGTGAAAAATTAAGAAAAGATAATGAACAGTATTATTGGGTCAGTAAAGCAAATCAGTTTTCTATAGCAAAATTCTTTATCGACTACTCATTCGACCATAAGGTATTTACGCAGGGTTTCGGATCGGCTTCTTCGGATTCAACTAACAGATAACATAAAGTGACCTGTAGAGCTTGGCGAGGTTATAATGCGCATTGAGGTGGTGCCGGTTGTGTTTGAGCGCCTGCAGGAAGTGGTACTCAGAGCGGCCCGACGCCACCACCAGCGTGCCCAGGTTGTTGTGCGCGCTCGCGTAGCTCGGCCACAGCCTGCCACAAGCATCGACGTCTTATTCACATTATAATCACGACATTCTCATATGGGTAAAGAATATAATAATATATCTACTTCTATTTAATAATTATACTATGAAGTGTTTCCAGATGCTTCAAAAGTACCTAACACCGCTAACCACTTAGAAGAGAAGAGATATTAAAAAAAGCACTTTTTGCTTTGCTCCGCGCGCTCAGTTATTCTTTTAAGTAACTTTAAAAGTGTCATTTTTATTTTTCAATTTGTTGTAAAATAATACTATGTAACAAAGTATTCCAAAGCTTGAAATATTTTTCGTAGTTAAAGATAACTTACTTCAATGCTTCTTTGTAATGTTTGATGGCACTCTCTTGTTGCTCGATATCTTTGAGAAAGTTCGCGAAGTTGTAATGTAGTTTGGCATTATGCGGCAATACCGACAGATCAGCTCTGAAAACACAATAAATAAGCAAAAACCATAAACATATCTTCATGAAATCAATCAAAGTTAATGAGACAACAAAATCATTCTCATCATTGAGGGCCGCCGCGTCGCCGGTCAGCACGGCCGCGCTTAAAGCTAGCAGCTGTAGGACCTCCTATACAGTTGTTGATACGAGGTACCTGAGCAGTGTCTCCCTGGTGCGCCAGTCGCAGTTGCGAAGCTGCGTGCGCGCGGCGCCGCTGGCCACAAGTACAGCCGCACCCACCGCCAGCAGCCGCCGCGCACGCCCGTAGCGCCGCCACAGCAGTTGCAGCCCGTACGCCGTTATTATTATAGAGCCGATACTGTAAACAATTTACTTTGAGCCGATGTATTAACTTTACAATAATAGCACAGCTCTGAAAGAAATCAATCTGATAACCTAACACATGATACGCACTCGGTAATAACACATAGTAAAACCACGTCTGACCTCGGTATGTAGAGCACTCTCTCGGCGACGACGAATCCGACGGTGACGAGCAGGTTGGAGGCCGGCAGGTAGGGCAGCACCAGTAGAAGCAGACCTGCCGCCGCTGGAGTGCGTCGCTGTGCCTGCACGCGAGTGTCATATAAAAATTCACCTAACTCGTGTTTACTTTGTTTTTGAAAATATCTTGTGACCATGAGTGTTCTAATATCGTCCCTATATTATTGGCATACAGGAGGTGACAGAAAAGAAATACATAGTTTAGTACGCACTTAACAATCCAGCTTTACCTCAATATCTGTGAGAGCGCAGTAAGACAACGCGACGAGTGAGGCCAAGGCGAGTAGCGTGAGCGCGTTGCGCGGGTCAGCGACGCTGGTCACGAGCGGCACTGAACCCAGCTGCCAGTCGTGGCTGAGCGGCCAGGGACACAGCACCAGCCACCAGTTGAAAGCCGCCAGGTAGCTGAATGTCATCAACCTTACATACAAGCAAATATTCGTTAAAATCCAAATCCTCGTTTTTGTATTAAAATCACAATTTTTGCAACTTAACTGAAATAATTAAAAGCTGCTAAATCATTAATGTGCCAAAAGTCATAAGTTGAAAACATCCGCCAAATAAAGTTGTATTGAATTAAGGAAATTAGTGATCAAATCTTGCTAGCTTCAGTAGGTCGCTTACGTGTAGCAATGTGCACTTCACCTGACTAGGAAAGAGGGATGGAAGGCGGGTGGGTTGTCCTGCGGTGAGAATGCAGGCAGCGCACCGTGCAGCGCGCACAGCCGCAGCGTCGCCGCCAGCGCTAGCGCGCCCGCCGACCGCACCGCGCGTCCCCACATGCCATCGCCCTGTCCCTCGCTCCGCCAGCGACAACGACCTAGCCCACACCTGAGTAAGAAGTACATAATGTATGCAACTTCGATTGCAATTAACAAAAATAAGATGATGCCACATCAAAGGTGGGCTAGGGTTCTCATCGTTTTACAAAACCATTGAGGTTAATAAGCTTCGACCGATCTTTACCTCGTCATGGTCCCCCAGCAGCGGTAGATGTCGAAGAGGATGTTGAAGAGAAGCGCGGTGAGGCCGGTCTCCTTGGCCAGCATGCTGAACGCTGCCAACCCCGCACTGGCCCACACGCGCTGCCGGCCAGACCTGTATGAGGCACGCATTTACTGCTGGACTAAGGAAGGCTACATTGACTCTGTAAATGCGACTGTAACACTCTAGTATACTAACTAAATAAAATAACATCGTAATAGAATTCAATGTTAACATTAAATACAAGCCAAATTCATATTTAAACAGATGATGATTTAATATTAGACGAACTTCTGCCTTAAAGAAACTTTTAAACTCGGACGAAATATATTTCAACTCCAACTCTAAACAATATCAAAGAATTCGGTAAGAACACGAACAATCTTTTCCCGAGTGTCCGACACAAGGCACAAAACTCGCAACTTTTAACATACAACGTTTACACGACAACACTACGAGAGCCGAAAGAATTGTTTAGACAATGATCACCAGAATTACGCTACGTTCAAATCGTCACACACAAATAAGTTTGTTTACCATATGGCATGGCGCACGGTGTAAACATTACTCACCCATGGTAAAGTAGTAGAGAAGATAGAAATAAGACACAGGCCAACACGTCTGCGCGGCCGACCACACCGGACACCTACACACATACACACACAATATCACTACACTCAACAGTAAATATATATAGTTTTATAAAATCTTAACAATGTTATAAGTATACTTTATCCTCAGCTTTATCCGATTGATGTTTGATTGTAACACTGCTGCGCACTGAACGTGAACGTCACAATAACTGAATACAATGCATCTATATGCACATTTAAATATACCTGTTAGTTATAATACATATAAATATATGTGCAATAAATAAAGTTTTATGTGAATAGCGCAGTAGCCGAAATGAATTATAAACTGGAATAAGAGCCCACGTAGTCTGCGCTAACGCGACTGCTTAAGTGGAGTGTAAACTTAACAACGAAATTTTACCGAACAAAGGCATAACTTGATCCCAAGTAGCGCAACTCTCCGCAACTCCGGCAACTCGCTCCCAGCGCACGTATGCTAAGTTATTGTTGGAGAATAATTTGTATATTATACGAGCATAAAAGTTTTAAGTCTTATGTTATTACTCTATTTATGTAGTTGCTCGTATTCAGACGACAATCGTAATGTAAGAAAGATATATGCAATGATTTAGTTGCTTTCCTCAGATCTTGTACAACCGATTAAGTGTGCTATATGCGTTATACTCACAGCTTCAGTGTGTATAGGGTGTACAGCAAAGAGTAACGCGGCGAGAGCGGCGAAGGGCCGCTGCAGACGTGCGACGACGGCGCCTGCTCTAGCTACCAACGCGCAACATGCCGCGTGCAGGCAAACGTTGCCCAAATGCCACCACCACACAGACAGCCCGCACAATAAGTAGTTCAACCTGGAACAAGGACAATACCACTTGTACGAATTGGTAGCCGCTGGTAACTGTAAAAGGAGGAACTTATCAAAATCAATTGCAAAGATTAGTGTCAAGAAATATTACTCAAAATTTACAGCACGATAAAAATGAGTGTGTTTGCTTCGCAGTGTTATTTTAATAAAGCAAAAACTGAATAATGTACGAAAATGTAATGTTGAATGTATTTACATTTCGACATTAAGATAAATATTTCTTGAACGAAACATATAAAAATATAGGCAGAGTATAAGGTTCTATCGCTGCGCTAGGAAATGAACCGCGTCCCGAATGTTTCCTGCATCCGGCTCGATACGCAACTAACTTGCGTAACTCATGCGCACAAGATCACATTAAACTACCTACTCTATCAACTTTATTACTTCAGTGGAACTTGCTGAAACCTATACGAGTACAATTTTGACATTAAAAACACCACCTTAGCTTAGCTTTACTCGCTGAGTTGATATATTTACAACTCTGACTGTGTTTTGTTTAATTACCAGTGTGTTAAAGTTTTACGGGAATTTCTATTCTATCTGTTAAAACTATACGTTATACGATTCACATATAAATCTTCGCTAACGTAAAATTGTCTCAACTTTTTAATTGGACGCGCGAAATTTCGAGAATAACTTTGGATTCGTTCATTAAAATCCGATGATCGTGATGAATTTAAATGAACACGGACACAGGCGCGCTCTTTGTGTGCGAGTTTTTATTTCATTATTAATTTGCGCTGCTCGTATTAACTAAAAGTGGAAATGGAGTGTTTTAACTCACTTACTTAACCTGTTTTTGTCTGAATATTAATTATTTTTCTTCTTTTAAAGCTTTCTCTTTCGTTTTCTGCGTGCGGACTGTGACACTTTATAACTGATTCTAGTTGTATAAATCACATTACAACTAATATTGATATTCGACATCGCTTTAATTACGATGTTACTTATCTATTTAAATCGTATTAAAACTACATAATCTGGTAGAATGTAGGAGTTCAGTGAAGTGAGAACAAATTATTTGCAAAGTTTGTAAGACGCCACATACACTAGGTCACCTCTCTCTGTCACGTGCGTCGATATTACAAGATATGTATTTTCCGACTATACAACTTTTCATTTGCATACATAAAATTGTTCACAAGTAAAACGGCATTGGGTTATTAATGTAGAACACTTTGCGACTCGCGATGTGAAAAATGAAAGCGGAATTGCACAAACTAATGAGTCCCCGGCACGGCATCGATTTACGGAAATCCCATTTCCGTGGATATGATTTTATTAACTCTATAAAGCTTATACAGAGATTTATTGACGTTTGTTTAAACTCAATTTCTTACTATATATGTATAGGCTGACAATTTCATTTGTACTAAATGTGTAGTAACAATTGTACTTCAAACTTCAGATATTATTACTTCTGTGATAGGTTTATTTTACAGTAATTCATACCGTAGTCATATAAAGTTGACTTATTGTAGCTAATAAAAATGTAACAGTAGAGTAAAATGTCTGTATATTACAAGATGACTTTAAAATCACAATATATTCTATTAACTTCCAACAAAATAAGTTAAGAACTTTGTAACGAAAAGAGTGTACTTGTGTGTCGTGTCACATCCATCATGCTACAATAGATGTGAAGCGGTGCCGGGAGCGTTGGGAAGAGTCGGGAGCGGGACCTCTTGTAAGTGACGCGCCGCCGACAGCCGATACATTATATTGCTGTTCTAACATTTTGAACACATATTTATATCACCTCCTTACCATTGTCTGAGTGATACAATTATTCAATATATTTAGAAATAAAATCTTTTATTTCCACACACAGAAAAACATAAGACTCACACTTACAATATATCTAAATAAATAGTGGCAAAAGGTGGACGAGAAATGATCGTGGTTAGTGCAGTTTTTTAGTGAATTGTAACACAATTAATAAAAGTTGTCAAAAACATCTAAATCTAAAGCATATTTGTTATATTATGTTAGAAAACTATTGAATAAATTAATCCTTTTCGTGAAATAATGATAAACATAAACCTGCCAATCTATTATGTTGCGTTAATTGTGAGAGTTTAATATGCGAATTACGTTCGTGCTTTGTTTTACAAAAATTTGAATTTCAAATGTGTCCTCCGGCCGGGGCAGGCGGGGGGTGCTGCGGGGGGAGGTGCGGAGGGAGGTGCGGGGCGCTGCGGAATATTCATCAGCTGTCTCGGAGAGGACTTCGTTAGCGGCTACGCTGTAATTACTACATTTGTAACGTCCACGATCATTGTTACTATAATTCCTTTTCCAAAGTTCTACAATATTTACGAAGTTCTACTTTAAATTACACATTTCAAAAAATATATTGCTGTAAATGACCAATTTAAACTGTCTTGACTATTTACATCCGATGTATTTCAATATGATTTACACGAGGGTTTGTTAGTTTGATTTTAAAATTCAATTTAAATACTTTGGTTTGTGTTTAACTTAATTTAAATTCAAATAATAGTTTGTATTTGTCATCGATAACACAATAAAGCGATCGCGCCGCGCCTTCCGCCGCCCGCCGCCGCCGCCGCCCGCCGCCCGCCGCTAACGAACTTTCTAATTGTTTAATATCGGATTATTCTGCTAACTAGAACAATTGGAATTACAAATTTTTAGTCAGAACAACACCCTAATCAAATTTTGGTATTCGGTGTTCGGTACAGCGAACTTTCTACTTTCATACTTTACGTTTGATTTAATTTCATTTGATTTGGAACGTAAGATAATTTTCAATATTTTCTTCAAACTTGTGTGAAGCGTCACCAAACCCAAAATGATCAGCGTTTTTATTTCAACGTTTAAAAACTTAAATAAAAGGCATTTGTTTGTTGCCTCATAAAAGATTTAAAAATGAACCTAACCTGAACCAAGACATAAAATACAATAAAACTATAGGAACGTCTGCATTTAAAGGTTCATAAGCTAAATTTATACAAGTAACATGGGGCCGGATATGCGGGCAACTCAAATAGTACTTAGTGAATAATGCAGAGGGCGCTGGAGTGGCACACCACAAACAAACGAAGCCGGATATCGCAGCGACGTAATGAGGCCCTCGCAAACGATACTCAACTGTCTCGCTTTCATAAATCACAATACTAACTTCTATTTGACGTAACGAATTATTTTAATTACGAACAACTGCCTTATCATTTAAATATAATAATCAATTGTGATTGTTATGCGTTTTAAACCGAAAACTGCATCGAATGAGTAAAAGAAGCATTTCTCTTGTTAAATCACATTTTGAGTAACAACAATTAGGTGGTTACTTTCATTACTCCTTAACAAAATCGCAAAAAGGGTTAGCCTCATTATATTTCTGAACCAATGGCAAAGCTTTTATTCTTCGATGCATCTCAACATTCGTATTTTAGCTTATTATATGTTACTTTTGTATCTGTAAAGATGAATATGAAAAGGATCAAATTTGTTACGAGCTGTGACTTACCGAAACGTAAGTGTAGTAAGCGGTCGGTATGACTTGTGACTGCTAGGCTCGGACATGGGCGTGCCCCAGAAGTCATTCCTGAAGAGGTGGAGCAGGGGGTTGGCGCCGGTCACGTCGCCGTTGCTCACGATCGCGGGGATGTCGTCGTGCACGAACTCTCCCTGCAGGCTGTTAGCGTACGTCAGAGCGCCCACAGATGCCACTAATGTGTACACAGCCCAATCACTCTCACAGACACTCCGCCACGTCTTTGGATTAGAAACTTCTTCGCGGACCGACGGCAGTGGTCTTCTACGCATGGTTACCTATTCACTACATCTTCGAAACATTTTAGAAAAATTCTTAATATGTTTTTATAAATGTCACTTTGTAAGGAATAACGATCATATTATAAGTTAGTCTCTGCATTTTGGGACAGTCATCAAATAAGTCAACGTGTCATATTTTAACGTTATTGGATTTGGAAATTGAAATTTTTTTTTAATAATAAAGGTTGTTTTCACTGCATAAACAAAAGCCTTTTTTGAGGCAGCTGAAGAACTTCCTGTAACAAAAAAAAACAATTTAAGTTCAGAATAAATTTTAATAAAAATAGTTGCGCATTATATTAGTACGTATCTTATTTCTATTGAGGTCTCCAATAATTAAAATGTTTAAAACAACAATATATTTAACAAGCTTTAGTTTATAATCGATGTTAAAACATATCTTAAGAACTAACGTCAATATCCAGCTTAATCTAAGTACGGTTAACATTAATTCGGGATAGAGTTAGCGGAGAGCGGAGAGCGGAGAGCGGAGAGCGGAGAGCGGAGAGCGGAGAGCGGAGAGCGGAGAGCGGAGAGCGGAGAGCGGAGAGCGGAGAGCGGAGAGTAGACATCGAGCACTAAACAAATATTGGATTACTTATGATTGATTAAGCTGAAGTTTTGCGAGCGGACAACTAATGTCTGATCGATTCGCGCCAGAAACTGTCGGCGGTTGGAGATCAGAGCTTGCCCATCACGCACTAACTTTATCAAATTATACGCAATGGATTACATATGTGATTGTATGCTCAGAGAAATCATCAATAGTAACATTGTAATTTATTAATAAAAACTATAGTGTAAAGGACATGGAACTTACAGCGGAAACCTCTATACATTTATGTAGGACTGTGGTTTTTGAACGAATGCTAGACAATTAAGATTGAGACGCGTGAATGACTGATCGGACAGAATGGAACGGAAGTATGACAGTGCGAGTGTAATGAATAATGGAAGGACGCCAAGACGAAACGAGTGCAAGTAAAAAGATATTGTAAAGCTGTAAATAAAATACTAAGAAGACGGAAAATCTTTCATTCTGCCCACCACCTCACCACATTTATATAAGTTAAGTGACTAAATATTGCCGATAACTTTGCTGTTTTTGTAACCAACTTTAGTTAATTTGATTTATTGTAGACGAATAGGAGGTAAGAATAATTACAAATACGTTTCTTGTTACGTTACAACTCCACACGTGAGAAGAGTGAGGCTGTACTTCTGTACGTCATGTTTAATACATCTGGCATGAATCAATAATGCTGTGTGTTATATACTACGGCCGCTATTTCAAATTACATTTGCACCAATTTGGTTGCGACGTGTCGGTGGGAGCGGACGTCGCATGTTTCATACGTAATATACACAAATGTGTATAGTCTTACGAAGTATTAAGGGTAGGTACATACAGAATATTAACTCAAATGTCATTAGAAAAATGACTATAGAAAAAGATGGAACTTTATAAAAATACTTCAATGAAAAATGTGCTTTGAGCTATATTTGTTGTATTCCACAAAGAAAATCATAAATTAAAGGCTGTGTACACATAATGGTAACTTAATTAATTATCAGAACTCATGAGCAAAACATCTATTTATCAGCCACAGGCGAACATTAGCTGGACGTAACGACCAATGGACCGCAATACGTGAACACTCTAACTATTTGTAGAAATAATAATTTATACATATAATATTATTCGATATTTTCGTTTTATTCTTTTATAATAATAACGTATAAAACATTTAATTCTGTTCCAAAAATATTTGAGTAGATACTTAATCCAACAAAGGAAGGCTTTTTCCAAGAAAGGAAGGAAAGGAAACGAAGTCAGAAAACTGAGTACTATCTATTTTTGTACCATTTCTCAGAAGATAATGAGCTTACAATAAAATTTATTTAATACATAAAAATATTATAGTATTTCGTAGAACATTTAAAATTACACTACATAAATATACATTTATGATATTCAGATTAAATATTTACCCTGTTTATAGTGAAGAATTAAACAAAGCAACTTAATTAACTCTCTTATAAAGATAAAATGTTTTCATACAATTAATAACCAAAATACAACATATAGTATATATGCAACATTAAAACATAGAAGTCTTCATTATCATTAAAATGTATTAAGTTGTCTGTATGTACGGAATGTTAAAACAAACGACTTATGTAAGTTATCTAAGGCTATTCGTCGCTGGAGGCGGAGGAAACGCGTCCAAATGCAATAAAGCCGACAGGCCCGTACGCTGAGCCACAATAAAATTACTCCTCTCTTACATACATTTAATATAAAGAACACAATTTCCACGTATCTTTAAAGTATCGGCTATAAAAACAACTAATGTTATTTAATATACCGTAACGGGGACTTTATCTATGTTTATTTACCCTCCTCTTTTATTTATAAGCTAGTGATAGCCACTGATTTCGTCAGCGGCGAATTTAAAAAGCCCCGGAAAAGTCCCGTCAAACAAATTTGGTTTTTCGTTATAAGTAAATAAAACATACAACATTTTACTTCCAATAATAAAATTAATACTTGTCCTTTCAAATTAATTGAATTGTTAATTATTGATAGAAAAATATAAACAAGTTAGATTTCCTGTGTCCACATATACAAAGATATTTCTGATAAATAAGTTAAGGTAATAATCATATAATATATCAGGGATCAGTAAAAGCTTTATCACATAACTTGTATGAACGGAACGCGCAAACAGAAAACTTGAAGCGACTACAAATCATACTTCGAAACACATTAATAAGACAATGGTCGATAGAGTACACCCCCCCATCACTTCGGTTACGACGCACCCCCCCTGACCCCGGTGTAGCAAATGGTGCGTAAACATACCCTCAGATCCACCACCATGATAATATATGATTTCTTCTCTTTCTTACACGTTAAAGATTCAATTGTTTATAAGAAATGATGACAATGTTATAATAGATACGGACTTTTCATTATTATTCGTTTTCTTTCGAAATTGATAGATGCGAGTCAGAAGTTAATTTTTTAGATCGGTCATGTAGTTATCATAGATATTTTTACAGTTTATTTGTAAAATACAATAATATAAATCTTTCCTCTCAATAATATTAGCAAATATTGTCATAGCGAGGGGCCTGTTTTCCATAACTACTAATCATGATCAGTCTATTCATAATATAAGTCATATATTGTTTGTCAACTAACTTTTTATTTTAGAATAATGGACTGATGTGTAAATAAACTTATGTGCGGTCTCATTATGTCGCTCCCTCCGCTGAAGGGACAAGGGCCGACGTGATAGCTCACTGATCCGCACTCTATTGCCGAATACTTTATCTCTACTAACAAAATTATTTTAAGTTAACTCGAAATAACTTAGCTGCCTTCAACGTTTATGTAAAGTTAAATATGTACCAACTCTATTTAAATTATAGTCGAATTCAATAGAAATAAGACATTATATTGACCCAACTAGTTACAGTATTTAAATTGATGAGATAAACATGTTTGTTTTATATAATTGTGATAATAATTTAATAAATGTAAACATTGTTTAAATCGGTTTGTTGTAGTTTTTCATTTTCATTGAATTCTTATATCCAATTTTATATATTTTCTGTACACACGAAACTTAAATAAATTTGTAGAACAAAAATACATACGATTCAAATATAAAGTTAGGGAGAAACATTGCCGTGACACTTCTATTGAAACATAATGTAATCTTCTTTTTTAAAGAAAATAAGAATAAGCATTCGAGAGTGGAAAGCTACAGTTAACTTCGTTGTAATATAAATTTTTGTGTAATAAAATTCGTGAAGGACAAAGTAATAATTTAATTCACTTCTTTTATTGTGCAAATTCATTTTTGCTTTAGAAAGTTGGGGTTGGGGGTACGAGTACATCTTTCAAACGTTCATTTCCCGAAAGGTATCCAAAACACGCGAACCCTTTAGGGTACACCCGGATAATGACTTTCGCTACGGAAAAAAGTTCCGAGGGAAAAACCTTCGGGCGTTTTTTATAAATTCATAGCAATATATAAACATTAATGTTAACTTAAATTAATTCATCTCAGTCTTCAAAAAAAAAGAAAACACAATTTACATGAAGAAATATGTGTTACATTGAAGAACACATCATTTTTCAGTGTGAAATTTGGAAAATTATTTATGTGCTCTGGAAGCAAATTCACTGTTGAAAAGTCTAAAACACCCACTTATCCGCATTCTATCTACCTACGAGGGATTCAAATAATACCCGTTTAAGCATCTCTGAAGATAATTTCATACTTTCAAATCCATTCCTGGTATTCGTTAATTATTCTAATGAAATTAATGTTATTTTCATTTCCAAAGTTAGTTATATAAAATCAAGCCAACACGAGGATTTAATACTAAAATTCATTTTGTTAAACCGTTAAATGCTAATGAAAGATAAACATAACAACAATGCTCGTGTAACAATTGAGTACTAATTTACAGTACTGAAATCACACGGGGGCGGAGAGGGGCGATGTGGCGGAGGGGGTGGTGGGGGGAAGGCACACAATTAAATTAGTGCGCACATGTCATAGACAAGTTCCGCGCTATAGGGATTTATGTCCAGTGAATACACAATGAATGTAACCCTGTGCCCGCCGCCTCACCGCAAACACACCGGCCTTTGTGTCCACTGCGCACTATCGCTACGGATTTGCGGTTCAAAGTTTTACAACACAATCAAAAATTTATTGAACATTTATTTTCATATCAAAGTGATATACTTGATTGCTAAAAGGCGCGTGTCTAAACATGCTTATATGTAAACGTATTTTTTTAATAACATAATTAAATTGAAAGAACAAAATATTGCGATTATTAATTACAGCATAATTTATTTTCTTAACTCTACATTTTCTTAAAACTTCGCTGACCTTGTCATTGTCAACGAAATTTATTTCCCGAATAAAAGCCAGTCCCAAAAATCCTATTTAGAATGCTTATCAGGTGGAGCATCAGTCATTGTGACAGAGTCTCAAAAGACGCGGCTATTACGACGACCGAAGACCGGAGACCGGGTTTCACTCATAAATACAGCTTAGGAAATTTAAGTTTGTCCGAGCCAAGCCTTTGTGTGTCGTTAATATTAAGAATAATGGCGGACCATTATTATAACTTGAAAATTTTAAG